ACCGTGTGCCGGATGGAGAGACTCTTGGTCCGGCCGCGGCCCAGCCACAGGAGGATTTCGGGACACCAGCGGGACACCGGCGGGACACCGCGGGCCACTGGCCGCCGGAGGAGAAACATTTGGTCCGGCCGCGGCCCAGCCACAGAAGGATTTCGGGACACCAGCGGGACTCTGGCGAAGCACCGCGGGCCACCGGCCGCCAGAGCAGAAACATTTGGTCCGGCCGCGGCCCAGCCACCGGAGGATTTCCTCTCGCCCGCCCACGCAGCTCCGCCTCTCCCGCACGCACGCACGGCACGCACGACAAGAACCCGAAACCGAAATCGATTTCTCCGTTTCACGTCGGACTCACCCCCCAACCCCCGATGTATACATATGCCTATTTCCCACGCCCTCCCTACCTCCCTCTCCCTCACTCCCTCTCCCTCATTCCCTCTCTCGACCTCCATCCAACTTTCACTCTCTCTCTCTCTCACTCGCTCTTCCTTCACTCCCCCTCTACCCCTCAGACCACACGACCGCAGATCTGGTCCGCCCTTTCCCCCTGACCTGTCCCCGCGCAGGTGCCACACGTTCTTCCCCACCCTGCCTCGCGGACCTCGCCGCCGCCATCGAGCCGCCTGCGCCCCAGTCCTCCAAGCCGCCCCCTCGCCAGCCTCCTCCCGCGGCCCTCGGCACCGTGCTGCCAGCCTCGCCAGGCTCCGCGCGCCAACCGCGCAGGGCCGGGCTGACCCGCTCCCCCCCCGCGGGACCGCCGCGCGCGCCGCTGCCGCGGGCCCTCGGGGAGCCACCCCCGGAGGCCCAACGGCCTCCAGAAGCGCGTCGAGACCATCCGCTCTGGACGTCTGGAAGAAGAAGAAGAAGAAGAAGAAGAAGAGAAACAACAAAAAAACGCCCCAGACAGAAACTTTTGGCGCTCCGTGCGGATCTCTTGGATCTGCGCTGGGCCCCCCTCCCAGGTGTGCGGAGCGCGCCAGGGGCGGCGCCGGTGGCGCCGCCAGGGGGGCCCAGCGCGGATCCAAGAATTCCGCGCGGAGCGCCAAAGGGTGGCACTGCTCTGGACGTCAAGATTTCCTCCCTACCGGATGCTGAAGACATCCGACCTGGAGAGGCCCCGAGCCCACGACGATGGCGGCCTCAGTGCCCACTCTGAAGCTTGGAAGCGTCCGCTCTGTGAAGTCCGCGGCATGGTCGCCTGGCCAGTCCGCGAGGCGGGGAGGCCCAAGCCCGAGCGGACAGGCCCAATCCTGGGAGAAGCAGCAGTCGGAATCGCTCGGATCTGGACCCCTCTGGTCCACTGGCCTGGGGAGAGCTCCTTGTGGCCACACGACCAGGAGACCCCAACATCCATCTTCTTGCCAAAAAATCCAACGACTCTTCGGCGTGTGGAACGCTGGTCGTCGTCGTCGTCGTCGTCGTCGTCGGCCCCATGGAAATTGAAGATCGAACAAAGAAAAAAATGTCTTAGATTCCCTTCCGTTCTTTCCTTCCCTGACGGAGGGGAGGGGGGGAGTGGGGAGGGGTACAGGGGGGGAGGTACCTGGGGGGGGGGGGGGGGGGCGGCCCCGGTCGGATTGCCGCCCTGGTCCCCCCTGCGGACAAGGGGGACAAGGGGGGGGGTCCCCCCGCCCTCCCCCCTCCCCTGCCCGGATCCCCCAAAAATGTCTTAGATTCCCTTCCGTTCTTTCCTTCCCTGACGGAGGGGAGAGGGGGAGTGGGGAGGGGTGCCCGGGGGGGAGGTACCTGGAGGGGGGGGGGCGGCCCCGGTCGGATTGCCGCCCTGGTCCCCCCTGTGGACAAGGGGGACAAAGGGGAGAGGTCCCCCCGCCCTCCCCCCTCCCCTGCCCGGATCCCCCTGTGGACAGGGGGACAAGAGGGGGGGGCCCCAAGGGGGACAGGAGGGGTTCTCCCTGCCCCCCCCCCCCCTCCCCGGTCGCCCCTCCCCGGTCCTGTGGACAGGGGGGAGCGGGCGGGGGGGCGCTCCCTGTGGACATGGGGAACTCACGACCCCTGCCCCTCCCCCCCATCTCCCCTCGATCCCCTGCGCACAAAGGGGGACCACGTGGGCGGCCCACCTGCGGAAAGGGGGAACGGAAGACCCCTCCCCCCGCCCGCCTCCCCCCTACGGACAAGGGGAAGAGACGACCCCTCCAGGGGGATCGCCAGCGGGGGTCCAAGGGGAGGTCCCGCCTTCAGGGTCGGCGGCACCGGCCGCAAGGCCTTCACAATTCACAATACGCGGCCGTCTATAAAAGCATAGATAATCTGGGGCCTAAAAAATGTTGGTCCAAAATTGTTGAGCTCGAGCTCACGACACAGCATTTGCGGGTGCTTTTGCCAGCCAGACCGATCCGGGAGAGGTCGGCCCCAAAACGGGGCAGAAGCGTTCATCACGAGTTGTTCCTCGACGCCCAGGTGTAAGGGAACCTAAAACACTCCAGATTACCAAGCTGCCCCTCACTCCCGAAGCAGCCCAACTCCTACAATTCTGAAGGCGAAGACCCCTCCAGACAAGACCCATGGAGTTCAGAA